ATAAATAGCTGAAGGGCAAAAAAATAGTTGAAAGAATATATTTACTACGTGGTAAAATCATTCATTTCAGTCTGTTCTATTTTTAGTTCAATATACTAAGGCATATATAACAAAAAAAAATTTTGTATTGTCTGGCACTTGGTTAATGGTGTGGAAAAATAAATTTTTGGAAGAGTAACAAATTTCTCCACTGGAGGACAAACCCATAGTTGAAGAAGCAGGAACTACATTGATATTTATCAACTTTTCTAAATTGTTGCCTGTATTTGTTGAAAGGTAAGAAAACTTTCACTTTAATCAAGAAGTCAGTGAGCCAAAACACTCCCTTTGTGCCTTCATTTTTAGTATATTTAGGTAGACATAAACCAGATTAAAAAGTGGGGAGGGGGAAAGAAACTATCAGTTGGGGAAAACAGAAAAGGCCTCATGTGGAAGGAGGTGCTTAAGATAAGCCATGAAGAAAACTAAGTATTCTGAGATGAAGCAGAGAAGGAAGTAAATTCCAGACACGGTGAACAGTAAGTGAAAAGTCATGGAAGTCAGAGATGGAATGTTATCATACAAGAACCAAAAAAGAGGCCAGATTGGCTGGACTCCAGTGTCTATGAAAGGGAATAATGTATAATAAGTTGTAAAAGGATTTAAATGCCCTATAGAACTGTTATATTTTTATTTTAAAGGCAGTAGGGAGTCACTAGAGTTTACTGAGTAGGAGAGTGACATGGTGCTTTGCATATATTAGGAAGATCAGTTTGGCAGCTATGTGAAGGATAGAATACAGAAATGAGAGACCCGATTCAGGAAGACAAACTAGGATACAACTACAATGTCCCAGGCAAAAACTGATGAAGGCCTGAACTAGAGTAGAGGCTGTATGATAGCAGTGTAGAGGACTGACTTGAGAGATGTTGTGGACATAGATACGAGAAGACTTGGAAAGTCAGCAGATATATTGGGATAAGAAAGAAAAGCTAAGGATGACTCTAAGGTTGTAAATCTGGGTGACTGAAAGACTGGAATCCTTGGTACCCTTCACAGAAATATACTAGTTCAGAGATGTGGTGAATTAGGTATAGGGGAGTAGGGAGGGAGATTAGTTCAGTTTCAGATGTGCTGAATTTGAAACACTGCCAGGGCATTCCAATAGAAATGTCCAGTAGGCAGTTGGTAATGAATGACTACAGCTCAGGAAGAGAAAAAAAATCACTTATTTGGCTCTTGATATTACACTCTGTATTGGTATTTACATTTTTATTCATACATTTAGTCTCCCCAACTAGACTGCAAACTCCTTGAGGTTAGGAACCATACTCCCCTATATTCTCAGATTCAGTGTTCTGAACCAATTAGTTACTAAATAAGTACATATTCATGATGATGACAATCACATTTGTTGAATGCTCAAATAATGGTACATATATGTATTGACAGAAGGTAACTGGTGGTATGTAGTAAATATGGCAGAGAATTAGTTTCTGTGCTCAATAAACTTATACTTTAATATTCTGAAGGAGGGATAATTCTCAGCTACCTGTTATATTTTAAATATTTGGTTAACAAGAATTTTGAGATGAAAGATAATTTTCTAAAAGAGCTATTTAATGTATTATTTTTTAAGTGGCAATTATAATATGTGGAGAGAATAAAACTATCCATCTCCCTGTCAAGGTAGCCCAGTATACCAGAATATTAGCTTCAGTTAAGATCTGTGTAGACACCTATAAGGAACTATAAATTGCAAATGTGTTAAACTTTATCTGTTCTTTCTTCTCTCTTAAGGGGATAAAGTCTAGCTAAATTAATTTTTTTCACATTTGAAAATTTTATAATAGATTGAAATCCTGAGGGAATCAACAACAGATGGATGATTGTTATTCTAATTTCAGCTACCTGAGGGTTTAGAAAGTTGTCATTTTTAAAAAGATGATCAATTTCTCATTTTAGGAAACTTGGAAAACATTGAATCTACCTAATCAGGCTTTCTTTTGAAACACCTTTCATATTAAAAATAACACTTTTTTGTTTATTTGCAGTAAATAGTAATTTATAATAGCAAAATGCTGTCCCTTGGGCAAAAAAAAAAAAAGGAGGGATAAATCATAAAGATATGTAAAGCCTTGGGCTAACAGTAATAATACCATCAACTTTAATATATCACCAAATTAAATATTAAAGAATCAATCAACAGAAGGGCATTTTATTTTTCCTATAATCTCAATTGTAGTTAATCAGTTATAGCCTTTAAGGAATTTTAATTCACATTCATTCTAAATACATGCCCAGAGAACAAGCTGAAAAGCTAACATCTGAGCTATCATTTGGCGTGATTTGGAAATGATGCAGGAGGGCAGAAAACACATGAATGTTCACTGAGTAATCCATCTTGTTCAGTATTTAGAAAACTTCCATCTTGCAACATTAATTGTTTGCTACATCCAAAAAAATTCAATGATATGTCAAAAGAGAGAAATTCTCATTAGTCAACATTAGTAGAAAATATGACTTCTACTGGGTATAGTTCACAACTCATCCATGTCTATGACATCCTCCCTTGAATCTTCCAAAAAGCATCTATTCAATGCATATATGTTTGACATTTTGCGTATACCAGTGTTACCGGAATTCTGTGGGAAAATTAATTTTTACTAGAATAGTCAGGGAAAGCTTCATGAAAGTAAATTTTTTTTCATGAAAGTAAATTTTGTCTTGGCTTTTAAGATGGGGTTTAATTTCAATAGGTGGAGATAAAAAGACGGGGATAATGGGTATTGCATAAACAGTACTAATGAACTAAGCATGCAATTTTAAAAATGTATAAGTCTAGTAAATTAATAAAAAATATTTTTTTTAAATTGAAAGTGAAAAAACTAAAAATTTAAAAGTAGATAATAAGTAAAACAAAGGGTTGTGAAGAGTAATAAACACTGCAAAATATTAACTAAGATAAAAAAATGAAGAAGGAAAAATAAATTGTTAAAATCTAAAATAAAAAAGGAGGAATTCATAATGGAGGGGAAATAAACTTACTAGAAAATATGATATCAGATCCCATGGCAACAAAACAGAAAGCTTTTAAAAAATATTAGTTACTAATATAAAATTAAATGCCAAAATGTGCTCAACAAGAAAGAGAGAACCTAAATAAAATGTTCACAATATAAGAAACTGAGCAGAGAAAAAGTAAAATTTCATGGGAAATTAAAAATGACTGAAAACAATATCAACAACTAGGCTTGATGGATTTACAAGTGATTTTTATCAAATAAAAGAACAAATAATTTTATGAGGTAGCTTTTAAAATTAAGAGAATGGAAACAAACTCCACTATGTCTGGAATGGTGTCTTTATTCACTAAGAGTAGTTAAGAAACTGGGGCAGCAATTTGGCAGAAAGCAGGTTTAGAACAGAATCCACTACCAGAAAAATTCAAAACATCAAAATATCAAAAGTGACCCCCTAAAAATAAAGCAGAGAATGTAAATACAAATATATGTGTGTGTGTGTGTGTGTGTGTGTATATATATATATATGTATATATATATACACATATGTATGTATTACTTTGTAATCAGCTGTGAGAAAGAGGAAATTATAAAAAATACACATCTGATTAATTATTTTTAGAATGCAGACATAAAAAATATAAATAGAATAAGAAAAAATATAGGGATGAGTTAAACATTTTTGCATTAAAAACTGATATGTGACATGCAAATTGATTCGAAATGTTAAACTTAAACCCATTTCCTAACAGATAAGCAGATAAATGATACAAATAATTTTTTAAAAATTAAAACTATTAATAGCCATTTGAAAAATCAGAAAAAGGCAGCTAATTGGCAGAATGGATAGAGTGCTAGACTTTGAGTCAGGAAGACTTCAATTAAAATCCAGACTCAGATACTCAGACCCTAAGCAAGTCACTTAATCTCTGTTTGCTTCAGTTTCCGGATCTGTAAAATGCAGATAATAAGAGCCCCTACTTTTGACGGTTGTTGTAAAGATAAAATGAGATAACATTTGCAAAGTGTCTTGTAAACATTAAAGTGCTACATAAATGCTAGCTAATATTACTCTTACTATTTGACTGCAGTCAAAAAAGACGTAAACTAAAATCTAACCTCAGGCACATATACCACCTGTATGATCCTGAGCAAGTCATTTAATCTGTGTTAGTTTCTTCAACTGCAAAATGGGAATTAAAAATAGCACTTATTTCCCAGAGCTTTTGTAAGGACCAAATAAGATAATATTTGTAAGGCACTTAGCTGATTCTCTTCTCTTCTCTGTACAAAGTGAAACAGCACAGAGATTATTACCTCAAACCTATAAAACTAAGAGATAATGTTCAAAGAGGGGGCAAAAAAACCAAGAATGGGTTGAAGATTATTAAAGAACCCCTTACATTTTTATATAACCTCCCTGCTTTCTTTTCAACTTCTTCAGAATCTTTAATATCTATCAAAAAATAAGCAAAAAATAAAAGTAAAGGAAAAAAATAAAATTTAAAAAGCAGTTTATTTTGCTACTGGTTAGATATGTTGGTATGATTTTTAGTGAAGAAGGATATTTTAAAAATCCAGCTAAAGTAAAGTTCTAAAATTCAACTTGCAATATCATGTCTAAGGGGAAGCATGGTACTAGAGAGTGGGCTGACTGCAGAGTCAGGACAATGTTGGTTCATGTCCTGCCTGACACATATTGACTGTATGGCTGGCCAACTCATTTAACCTCTCAGTGCCTCCAGCAATTTCTAAGACTAATCTGTAATACAGTTGTGAGTCTGCTGGCTATAGTTTACTCACTGGGAGCTCCTTACATCAATAAATGCACAGGTCCAGCCTACCATTGATGTTTGTAGCTCCTATGTTTGTTACTTCTGCAACATATGACCTGCATCCCCTCACTTCACACTTTTCTAAAAATTCAAAAATATTACTGTTCTTGTTAAATTGTACACATAAATGTTTACATTATGAAAACAGAGTTTGAATGTGTACCTTTATATTCAACAGCAGGAAAATAGCAGTCAAATGGGTTTTCAGTGAGATCCAACACAAACTTTTCAAGCAATTCTGCCAAAACTATAATAAACAAGAAAACCATTAGAATGTTAGAATCGTGAATGAAGCATGGTAATGCATCTATAAATTACAAACATAGGCAACAAAAGTAATTTGAACTGTTCTAGAGTTAGAATGTGAGAGGTAGAAATTAAAAACACACTGTTTTAGAATGCATAACAACATTTCAGATTTAAATTAAATTTTAATAGCTTTACTGAGAATCCATTCAATGTAAAACTTTTGAAAAGCAATCATCTACTATCTTTGGATTCTCTAAGGATTGCTGAGAATTTGAATTCTGAGTAACTTAAATTGTTTCAATGTAAGAAAATTAACATTAATTAGGTAATAACAACATCAAATTTATTTGCACATTTAAGAATAAAAAAAATTTCCTTTAAGGGTAGGCTAGAATAAATGTAGTCTCAGAATTTTTATATACTGCATATATTTCCTAAGTATAAAAACAGAGGCTAGCTATGTCTGTTCAGGGTAACCATACTGAATGAGAATCAAAGGACATCTTGTTTTTTGCTATTGGTCACCCTACATAAACACTGTCACTATCTCTGCATACATAAGTATAGTACTTGCCATCCAGATTAAAAAACAAAACAAACACAGAAAGGCAATATGATATGGTGAAAAGATCTAGGTTGGCTTAACAGCTCTGCTATTAATGACCTCAGTGATAAAATCACCCTAGGTTTCATTTTTCTCATTTGTAAAATGGTAGAAAAGAATGAAACTTAGGAGACAGAGGGATGGCAGATTTGGGTTGTTTTTTAATCATTACATGATTAAGTCTCTTCCAACTCTCAATCCTATGATCCTATTTATAATGTATCTAGTTGTTAGGGATCTGTAAGGATGTAGAGGGCCACAGACGGTTCATGAGATTTCACTGAAGGGCTGAGGCCCCTCTCGGGTGTTGGTCCATGAGCAAAGATTGCCTGGTTCAGTGCTCCATTTTTTTATGCATCTCTAACTTGCCTAGTTACTCATTAGTCATTAACAGTGCATTTGTGATTGGTGGTAGGTAAGTGCACGGACTGTGCGTGCACTGTCCTTGAGCACGGCATGGGTTATACATCATTGTAACATGAGGCAGAGTTCTTGTTATTTTACTATATAAATGAGTGCTTTGCTAAAAATAAATGGAGTTGCTGCCATCTTTTCTCACACCTTATCAATGCATGTTCAGAGTGAAAGATCAAGCTGGCCTTGATTCTTTGGGTGACTGGGAAACCCTAGGTCCTAGGTAGGCTCTGTAGCCAAGTGAGAAAGTCGCAACAATCTGGCACCCAACGTGGGGCTGCACTGCTGCCATGAAGCTGCACTGAAGCTGCACTGAAGATACGGAAAGTAAGACAGCTGCATGAAACAGTCAGGACACATCTGGACCAAGAAGACGCAACACCCACATCAAGACACCAAGGTCTGTTGGAGCCAGGCAGCCTCTTAGAAAGAAGTCTCCGAATCATATCCCATTGCAAGACTATGGAGTGGTAAGAGAATTTCTTACCACGGGGCAAAATCTAGGTGAACTCTCAGATAAGGAACAGAATGTTAGAGTAATATATCAAGTGATCAAGGAACAGGGGTGCTTGGTAACTCTTACGAAAATAAGAGAGTTTCTAGATATTATTGATATAACATCTCTATGGCTTCCAAGGGAAGGGAGTTTAGATTTAGAACCATGGAAGATAGTAAGGGAACAATTGACAGAATTTTATAATATCAAAGGCCCGAAATCAGTTCCCCTCGGTACTTTCACTGTATATAAGCTTATAAAAATGGGCTTGCAAGCTGACATACAGGGTGAGAAGACAGAATTCCCTGCCTGTACTCAAACAACTTCTTCGTTGTGCTCACCTAACAATAGCAGAGCAGGCTCTCCTGAGAGAGAGAACAGACCTAAGATTTATAGGTTATATCCTGACTTAGCTGAAGCTTCAAAACCCCCTCCACACTCTCCACACCCTGAGCTGTAAGACAGACTCAAGCAGCACGACGAGAGGTCCCTATACAACTACAGATTGTTTTGCCTTTTATAAAAACCAAAACCTTAAGAAAGATTTTGCCTGGTTTTAGAATACCATGGAAAGAAAAGATAAAATAAAAATGGTATTATTTCATTTGTGTAGGGAATTTCGGATAAGTTTTTTGCTTTTGGATTCTCCCTGTCATTGTGTTCTATGTTTGTCTGATGGTCTGTGATTAATGTCTATAATTTATTTGATCTTTTACTGCCAGGCAGCCAAGGGCTGCAACTGGATTCTGAAATGCTGACAGTGACTTTCTCCCCTTCCCCCTCCCTAATACCAGCTGCATTCCCGGGAGTGGGTGGATGGGGGAGAGAATGGGAGAAAAAGTACTTCATTATTTAGGTTATATAATTTGACAAAAGGCAAGAAAGTTTAAGCATACAGGAATAAGAAAAGTATGGATAGAAAGAATAATATAATCTGTTTGCATGAATAGATGATTTGAGAGTGAAAGATTTGGAAACTTTTGGAGAAAAAATTCTCTTTCTTTTTTGCATTCTAAGGCTCTGGCCAAAGCTTTCGGTATAAGATTGAAAGATTATGTTGAAAAATATTCTCTTCCTTTCTCTGAATTCCAACCCTGGCCAGGTTGGGATGGGGGAGAAAGAGGGACAAGATAAAGAGGACGAGTTTCCTCTTCAGATCAAAAAGAAAAGTTTTTAAGTATTGGAACACAATCTAAAGATAGTTTAAATCATTCACATTAGTAATATGCATTTCAATTTTAAAAATCTAGTCTCATTACAAATTGGTACACTTTTATGTGTTATGTCAAGCAATTTTTAATAATTTAGATGTTATTAAAATGTGAACTAAAAGAAACTGAAAGGTAGTGAGATAACTGTGTAAATCCACCTAAATTATTTTATCAAGTCCAGTTAATCTTGTTCTATGATTTTTTATAACTGTCATTTAGAAAATCAGGTATTTCTGTCTTTACCTATGATTAAAGAACAGCTTAGAGCTAAAACAATTTAACTATCACTCATGAAAATTACCAAATTGTTAACTAAGTTATTTGAAGTTACTGTTTTAAAGTTAAGACCTAGAATTTTTAATTACTTCTGAGAGAAAAGGAGGGGCACAAGGCAATTCCCTTAACTTTGTAAGCTTGCCAAAAGCTCCTACCAGCTGTGTGCCAAGGTCCTGCTCTGAGAAAAGAATTTGTTTATGTTATTGAGTTCCTAAACAATTCATTTAGCTTACTGAAAATTGCAACTTTATATAAATAATTTCTAATAATTGGCTTTCTCACCAAGACAAGTTTAAATGTGGGAAAGAAAGGATGTTAAGTAAAATTTTTATATATATGAGACCTAGTAAATCTTTATTGCTTATTGCACTTCTATGAAAATAATTAACTGTATCTGGCTTTAAGCCATAATCAGTGAAACTTACTGCTTGAGGTAAAAGACTCTTAGAACTATAATTAACTTTGTTTTGAGTTTGAATTTGGGTATGGTTGTCTCATTAAATCAGTATTTCCCATTTTCCCTATTGTGATCCTTTAAGGAGGGATGTTTCTTACCATGTGCCGAAATTTTGTTCATAACACTATTAAACTTGTTAGTCAGAAATATTCCCAGACAAAAATAATTTATTATATGGATGATAAACTTTGCAGTTGTCCTACTACTACCAAACTCTCCTTATTAATGCCCAAGTTTTAACAAGCCTTTCAGTCTCATAGATTTATCATTACCCCTGAAAAAGGTACAAAAAGGTATCACCCTTTGCTTACTTTAGGTATATTCTTCTACAGTCTACAAGTATACCACCAAAATGTTACAAATTAATCAAGATTCCTTGATAAGTTTCATATGACTTTTACAGATATTACTTTTAGCTTGTCTAATAAATCACCACTAATCAATTATTTTAAGGTGAATTTAAACTACTAGGATAACAGATAGCTAAAACTCAATTCATTTCCCCTTAATTTGTGGGCACGATATTTTACATTTACTGAGAGCTGTTATTTCCTCCCACCCACTGTTTGTGCTTTTTCTATCCATAAAACTGACAAAATACAAAACGAAATCTAATGAACTTGTTTGGGTTCCTTAGAATTCACCTGTTTTTATTATTGCAAAGAAGTCAGGAAAATTAGCGATGCTTTATGACTTCCTAGCCTTTGATAGTTATTGATTTAAAAGACTGCTTTTTTACTATTCCATTACAAAAAGCTAAAAATGATATATTACATGGATGACATTTTATGTGCTCATCCCAATCTTGAAGTGTTGGAAGGAATCTTACAAAAAACACAAGATTTGTTGCAAAGTCATGGGCTTCAGATAGCCCCAAAAAAGATTCAAAACATCCACCATATCAATATTTAGGCCATCAAATACTTCAAGAGAAAATAGTTTTACATCCACCAACAACAGACCTACAAAAATTGAAAACACTTAATGATTTTCAGAAACTTATAGGAGATATACAGTGGCTCCGATAACAGATTGGCATTCCAAATTATAAATTGATACCCTTGTATGATTGCCTTAGGGGTAATCCTCAATTAGATTCACCCCGGATTCTGACCCCTGAGGCGAAGAAAACAATGTTGTATATTCAGGAACAAATAATTGGAGCACACACAAACAGGACTGATATGCATGAAAGCGTGGAAGCTTCTATATTTAATATCCCAAATTCTCCAACAGCAGTGATACATCAAAAATAGAACCTTTTAGAATGGGTATATTTACCATCTGAAGTAAAAAACACATTAAGCAATTATATGGCTTTGATAGGGGACTTAACACATAAAATTGACAACAAGTGTTTAACATTATGTGGCACACATCCGAAGTCATATACCTTCCATTTTCTCAACAAATAATTGAAATGGCAATACAAACAATGCCTAACTGGCAAGTGAATATCAATTTGGAACTTGTGTATGGAAAACCCCTTAAATATCATACAATCTTTGAGAATTGGCCTTGGATACAACCCACATACACA